TATATATATATATACACACACACATACTAAATATAACCTCAGCATCCATTTGTTTGATAGGACTGCAGAATGAATGATGTAGGAAATCAGTAGCAAACAAGCTGGAAATATCTACAATAGTAACAGAGGTCAGGTCAAAGAGGGTTAAACTTGCTGCCAATGCTGTATATATCATACAGACTTTAAAAGGGCAATTAATCTTCGGTAGAAATACGTTGTGACGGATATAATTTTAAAAGAACACAGTTCTGCACAATTAGTAGGGAACTTCAAATTCTGAAATAACATAACAATGAAAAGTTTCATTGCCCAACATTAAAAAAAACATAGGCCGGCAGCATGTCGATAAGAGGCAGTTTACTTGATATAGGGGTCATCACCAAAGGGCCGTTATAATGTTTATTGTATGTAATGCTATAGAAAACAGAATTTTTGTCTTAACTGTAAAATCTGCTTCTTGGAGTATATCACAGTTAATTCTTGAATAGATAGGTTATGCAGCAAACTTCAGGTCACTGGACAATGGAAAACCAAGTAAAATAAGCCTTTTACCAGGTTCGATGGTAGACCTTGCAGGAGGTTGACTTTCTAGGTTTCAGAAGCTGCAATTCTCTGAAGTGAATTGGGAACAGAGAACTGCCTTGAAGGAGACCAGTATCAAGCCCAGAACCTTTATGTAAAAGGAAATGGTTGGATGACTCCTGAACTGCAAGGGTCGAGTATGAGAGCAAAGAGATAGGTACGAGGTAAGAAAAACCCTGGGCAGGGGCCTTGTTCAAGACCGGGCCCAGTTACTCCTAGCAATGGAAGGATTCTGATAAGTAATGAAAATATCCCACTATGGGGATCCCCTGAAACCAAAGCAGTGCCAAAACAGGGGCCAGCCTTGGTGGAGACCAGCAGCACAGTGGACAGGCCGAATAGAAGGGCAACAAATTGGTGGCAGTGCGTGCCCACAGCAAAAGCAGGCAGTGTTGATGGGAAAAATGGGGAGGTGCAAATATGCATCCTTGATGCTGACTGATGCCAAAAAGTCTCTTGGGTAGAGGGAGGCAAAGACAGAGTGGGTAGAACTGATCTGGAATTTTAAGGCTCAGACAAGAACCCATTGAGGATCTTGAGATTGAGCATAGGACAAACCCCCTTTGCTTTGGGGACAGTGAACAGGTTAGAGTAAAACCCTTGAAACCTTTCTGCCTCTGGTACAGGGACTATGACCCCATCTTTCTTCTTTTTTTTTTTTCTTATATACTTCCATTAAGGGGTGTGGTGTCTATCTCTACTGGTTCAATGTTTAAGTATTTAACATATGATCAGAGACAGAACTAATTATGTGGGCTAACAAGCAGTCTGTTGTCGGCACTGAAAAATCCTGGTCCCAGAAAGCTAGTTTGCTTCGCTGCGGTCAGGATGTTTCCTTGTTGTGAAAGATGGAATCCTGAAGTAGAGATCTGATATACCCTCACTCATGGCCAGCGAGGAGAGAATAAGGTCAGGGGATGCTGTGTATGTGCATGCATGGAATAGGAGGTGTCTCTGCTGTCTGTCTTTTTCCTGTGGAAGGGGAGCGTCACCTCCCTGAAATACATGATTAGTGATTTGGTGGTGTGGAGGCCAAGATTCTTTCCATTTGGGTGGATATTCACTTACTACCCAGTGTGTATTAAACAAGTAAAGAGATCCACTCCAAAAGGCACCTTGCTAGTTCTCAGGGAAGTATGTGCTTCAGGACACTGCTTCTCACCACTGAACTCAGATCAACAGTG